TACTCGTAAAAGCTAGTTTCGCTTGTTAGTTGGGGGGGGGTATTTCTTTCTCACGTTATATGTGCAGATGTTTTTCGGATTTCATTGTCAGATTTTCTGGTGTTTGATTCGTCATGGGTGTGTCATTTTCTCAATTTAGATAACTTAAAATTCCGGGATTGGTAAGATTTAATTTTATGATTTTTTTTGAAACCCTATGAACTCACAGAGGCGGAGAAACCGAGTTTTCCTGGGTGCTTGCACCAGGCTAGAGTTCATTCTGATTCAGATTTCTGAGAGAAAAGGAAAAGGAGAAGCAGAAAGTTTTGCGGGGCTCCCCCCTTGCGGGGTGAGCGACTTGTACAAGTGGGCTGCGGTGATGTGATGGTTGTAGCGGATTTTGATTTGAGTGAATTTTTGAGCAGCCCGCGATGTGAAAAAGAGAAAGAAGATCGTGGGGCTTTGCTCTGCTGCGGGCTTCCTGTGCAAGAGGGACTGGGTACCGTTTTCTTTTCTGCGGATATTTAAAAGTTTTGTGCGAGATGCAAGGAACATATTCCTGCGTGATGTATGGAGAACTGTGTGCGAGCTACAAAGAGCTTTTTACTGAGAGCTGCTTGAGATGCATAGAAAAAAAATCTACCAAGAAAATTTAGCACAGATTCTCTCTCTTCACCTGAATCGCCGGTTAATCTCCAAGAGCCTTTTTCCGAAACATTCAGCATAAATGTTGCCTCGACGCTTCGATGATGCACGTGATTGTGCTTAAACTGGTGTATATTCAGCTACCTGTTATTGAATTGATAAAGGATCCTTCTAAATTGGACTATTGGTTCCCACCTAATGAACAGTAAAGAAAAATGGGCTTGGCTCATTTCCATGTGGATTGGACACTAAGGATCCGGCTAATCAGGAAAAACTGTTTTCCATCTGTGAGTGAAATTTGTTTTAAGTATATATTCTCTCTCTCTCTCTTTCTTAGTTTTCCCGAATGGAATGCAGAACAGTTAATAGTGATTATTCTACCAGTATATTGTTATGACTTATATAAATTAAATATTACAGTTAAAAAAAATTGAGAAGTTATTTATAATTTCAAGTGAATGCCAGTTTTAGGAGGATTAAAATTTGTTTCACCTACTGAATTTTGTGAGCTAGAAAAACGTAACTTTCTAATTAATAAGAACCTGTTATTTGGAGGATTAAATTTTGTTACACCTAATGTATTTGAAAAAAAAAAAAAAAAAAAAAAAAAAAAAAAACAATGTTAATCTTAATTAATGTAAGCTGTAATTTGGTGTAGTATTATGTGTTATTTTGACTTAGAAAATATGTGGTAGGATATTGATCAGTTATCCATTATTTAATTATATAAAATAGTCAAGAATTTAATAAATGTGTGTTTAAAATTTAATTGCATTTGTGTATTTATGCTGCGTATAATTTACTGTGGTCTGTCATGTCCCTCCATTTGTTTGAGCCGGGAGGCTTTTAAGAAACATGGAGTTTAATTGAATTTGGAGTTATTGATATTTCCTTTTTACATCGGTTACTCACAACGCAAACCTAAAAGTAAATTGTACTATACCACTATACGATTGATTGATTGATAGATATGATATACAATTGATTGATAGATTTACTATACGAATATTTTTAAGAATGTCGAAATGATATTTGATTATTATGAAATAGATTTTGAATGTTTTGAATTATTTGATATGTGTTTTCTTGATTTTTTGTTATTTTTGTCCGGCACCATCAGTCAAAGTTTAAAGGTATTAGAACAACAACATAAAAATTTTCTATATAACAATATTAATAATTCTGTGCAATATGTAATACACGACAGATAATTCAATATAAGATCAATAAACTAAATCCAAAATCTAAAGTCTAAAATTCTGCATGTAATTCAATAAAATAGTTAATGCCAAGTTGAATCAAGACTACTTATAACGTTATGCTAATAATCCAGCTAATAATCCAGTTCCTGTATTGCAAAGAATTTAATTTACAGTTCCAGACTAAAGCATACATAGCGATACGATGTTCATAATTTCAATATGTTGCATCACGTATTCTTAGGGTAGAGCTTATAACTCAACATAATACTACATAACTACCAACTCAATACAATAATTAATGCAAGAATTAAAATAATAAGTAAATTAAGTTAATAGACTAGTTAAAATATAATGCAGTACTTAGGGTGCAAATATTGTATATTGTAATTATAATGAAATATAATACAATGCTAATAGTTCGATACAATAGTTATTACAATGCTCGATACAATACTTTTGATATATAACCAGATTAGAATACTTAATATGTAGCTTGTAATTCACTAAGATATTAATACCATATCTATAGTTTGAGATTGCGAGTATAATACTTATTGTGCAATATCTTATAGTGCATTTAAAATACAATACAATTTGTAATAATATTTGTAACAATACTGGGAATATTAAAAAATATAGTTATAATATGTAAATAGACATGAAGTGGAGTTTACAAAAATACAATTGTATTATGAAAACACTATGTAAACAAACAAGAATGCAACTGGAGTGTACAAGAATACAGTTGTATTATGAAAACAAGACAAAACCGTTAACATTAGGCAACCTGACATAGATCAGATCCATAACTGTGGAGAATGTCCATAATTTTTTAGAGTTTTCTGATAAGGTACTTCTGCTTAATTAAAAATTTACTAAATGCTAGCTGATTATTCACAGGGAAAGGAATGTGAAATTCCTCTGTTAACGGGCATGTAGTAATATAATGTTCAGGTATGCCTAGAGTTCCGCAGACACAATATTCACTATTTGCAATCCATGCTTGTAAAAGTAGCTTGGAAATGGACCATGGCCCGAGATATATCTTACTAGTTGATGATTTGTTATCTGACGACATTGATCCACATACGTAATATGATTGTACGTTCGTCGACGGGTTTCATCAGTATCCCATTCTAGTTGCCATTGGGATATAACTTTTAAAAGAAGAGCTCGTTTTAAATGAGATGTTGGCCACTTAAGAATCACTTCTTCAGCTTCGGCATCGGTATTTTCGGCAGCTGATTTGGCTAGTATTACCGTGATGCCCAGCATGGCCCCTAGTCCAGGCTAACGTGTTGTTATTTCCCACTTGATTACGAAGTTCACTTTGGATGTCCGAGATAAGCGAAGAAGAATGTCTGGGGTTTTGAATCGCTTGAAGCGACGAAAGACTATCAGTGATAATTATTGCCTCCGTAGCACCACTTGTTTTACAGTGTTGAACTGCTTTGAGGATGGCTAGGGCCTCCGCTTGAAATACACTATTATTTCCATGGAGAGGACCCAGCCACTGATAAATTGACTGACCATTATGAAAGGCTACAAGGGCACAGCCTGTCTGTTGATCTATTTTAGATCCATCAGTGTAATATTGAATGCTTGGGATAGGTGGCAGTGTTACGTCTTTAAGGAAAATCCGAAGTTCTGTTCCTTGAAGGACTGGATGCACATCCAAATGTTGTGAGGGTTGTTCATAGTGCAATGGTGTGAAAAGTTCATCAAATAGGATGAAAGGTTTTTTTCAAAACCTTGACGGATTGTATTGCTGCTTCCTGCAGAGTACGTAGATGAAGAGGGATCAGTTCCGCCATGACATTTAATGCACTGGATGAGGTGGTACGAAACGCCCTAGTTATCTGTAAGGCAAATTGACGCTGGAGACTTTGCGTATAGAAACACATTGTAAAATCTGCTATATAAAAGATGAAAATAAAGAAATTAAAAAAATATATTATTACTCTGGTAAAAAAACATTCGGTGCGCTTCAGTATAAGCGGAAAGGTATACACATTTGTTCATTGCAACTATTTATTCTGCAACTGATGCTATTATTACTGGAGTTCCAGATGCAATATTTCAAAATATATTTTAAATTATAAACTAAAATTTTTCATTGCTATCACATGTGAAAGTAGACTAAATTTTACTATTTTAAATTTTTTCGAATAATGACTGGAAAAAGGAATTTTTATTTCATTTTATTATTCTACAGATGCGAATTATAAATTACATACAGGATAATTCAAAATGAATTGTAAAAGAAAAATGTACTTGTGAATAAGTATAATAAAGAAAGAATAAACTGAATAAAGAAAATATACTTATATAGTTTATTTCAAGGATACAGGCATAATATAAAAGGTCAGTTCTTCACGTTTTACCTGGCAACACAGAAATTTTCCCTATTTATGAAATGCTCATTGAAGTTGCCGATATTAAAAATGGTGGTATCAGTGAAAAATATTATTATTGCGTATTCGCATGCGAAATTGTTTCACTGGTAACTGTTATTCAAAGATACTTTCGGACTATATTTGCTAAAGAACACCAGCGTTCCAAAACCACAAATTTGAGGAAGCAGTTAGAAGGTATGGGTTGCTTATGCAAAGATAAACGCACATAACATTTATTCATCAGTTACGGAAAACATTCTTGAGATTAACTTATGAGCTAACATATTGGCATACGGTAGAAGTGCTGCAACAACAGCGTAGTATCTATTACAGCACCATCTTCAGTTCCAGTTTAACAGAATACAGGCAATATGCAGAACAAAAAGGAGATTCTTCTTGGATCTGCAAGCCTGTCTGAATACAGTTTTTGCAGACTCGTGTTCCTTGCCGAAGCTCCATTCCGTATATGTGAGAAAGAGGAAAATCATAATTTGAAATTTGGGGGCACTGAAAATCGGCAAACCGCACTGGACTGTGAACGAGATTCTGCGCAAATAAACTTTTTTTTATGCATAAACAGGGTATTTTGGCCTTTTTTTTTTTGCAGAATCCACGGATGCAGGACTCATGTACTTCGACGAGTTGTCGAGTGCTTGTTTCCATAGTTGAAAAAAATATTTCCTCAATATATTTTTGCAGCAAAACTATGCATAGCTACATTGGACTAAAATGTATATAATTAATTCAACCTCCCTCTTCCAGATCGTTGACTCGAATGATGATGGCCATGGTAACTCGGACGATGGACCGACATGCTCTGGCCTCCAAGTCACTCGGACTAAAACTTTCCGAACAGTTTTCTTTGGAGGTATATTAAGAACAGTGTCTAGTAGTAGATATATAACTTGTAAGTAGTAGATATATAACTTGTAAGTATAGATATATAAGTAGTAGATATATAAGTAGTAGATATATAACTTGGTCGATTCAGATGGATAAATTTATTCTGGTATGGGTGGGGCACAAAGATATTAGAATGCATAGAATCAGTCTTCTCTGTACGCTCGGCGCAATGATAAATTTCCGATTTTGGAAACATTTTTGAATGGAAAGTACATCTATTCAAAATCTGCTATATGATCTGAAAATTTTAATTTAAACTGTAAAACTCAAAATGCGTAAGAAATTAATATATTAACAAGTTTTACATACTCAGTTCCTTATATCTTTTCCATCAAGAACTCTTTTTAAATTAGAATAATTTCGTGAATAAATCAAAAATATTTACAGAAAAAAACTACTAGTACTAAACGCTAATAATCAGCATTTGTATAGTCTGCACTTAATTCCTCCCTTATTAAACTTTGGAATTAAAAACATAAAGTCATACGTAGAAAATAACCAAAAATGAGTATTACTTGAAGGCTAATTATTTTTTTTAGATTTAAGTTCTAGAGATCCATGTGAAAATCGGTATTTAAATTATCCCAATGACTCGAGATAATAATTTTATAGGTCAAAGAAATGAAAAAAAGATATGTCCGTCTGATAATCACTTGCATCTGTAAGCAGTAACTTTTTGTCACTGCTTGTAATGACCATCTGAGAGACCTGAGAAAGCAAAATTCATTTGTTTCTACTGAACGCTAAAATGAAATCAATGAAATCAAAATTTTTCGCTTAGTTCTTTAATTTAATAAAGTAACTTTAAATACGGGTTCCAGTAGGAGCTTTTGGTATGCAACAAATGCAAAGATGAAAAATTATTTTGAAGTAAGAAGGAAGCTTCAGGCCATCAGTTTACGCTCAACAAAATTCGAGTCGATATTTTTCGTCGCGACGTTCAGGCGACTTATTTCGGGATAATTACGAGTAGGAAAGTTCATTAAATAGATTTTAAGAAGCAGCAATATTTTCTGGTCTTGTAATTTTCACAGTATGTTTCGAACATTCGCAATGTAATATATTATGATATTAAATTAAAGATTATAACTAAGGCATTTACGTGTAAGAAGACTAAATTCTTCTATATCAGTACCGGAAGTAAGCGGACTTTAAAATTTTTTTTTTATTTTTTTATAAATCACCCTTTACAGGCTGTGAATTTTGTAGATTTAATTTTTCGGATGATTCCTTCAACCATGGGCAAGGGAAAAACAAGATACTTGGTTATACTTTTCATTTATCTATAATGAACAGCAAATCTCCATCTTTGTGATTAGGGAGTGTCAGATCACTTTTCTTTATACACACCACGATCGAGCTAGCATAAAGCCTGGAAACTGACGTTATAATTTTATTTTTTAACATTTCAGCAATATGATCCTCATTTATCTTTTCTTTAATTTTTTCATAGGTTCTTAGGCATAGGTTTCGCTCTTACTGGAGCCGCAGTTCTGTACCAATCTCATAGGTAACGATGTGCGTATAAATCGATTATAATCAGAAAGATTTGAAAATTTACTTACCAATGCTTTTATTTTCTGTTTCTCTTCCGGCCCCAAATGGTAAACCTGTTTCGGTGGCTGGATTCTTCCTTTTCACTTTATTCATCTGCAGTTGTAAGACAGAATCACAAAAATTATGATGAACCCCTGCCGCTTTTAAAATGTCTAATACTAAAATTACGGCGGCTTGAAGATTCCGAACTACAAAGAAAATTACTTTGAGTGTCTTGTCGTTTACTTGTACATGCAATAGTATCTTACCGATACACGTACGCAGTTTGCTTTGAGCTGCAATAACCGTCGCTCCGCCTAATTTAAAGGCATATTATTTATGATATCTTGAATCTGTGCTGCTAGTGGAGAGTTGGGATGTTGGTTTTTAATCGTAAACATGGAAGATTGTCTGCCTGTAATGATATGGATATTACTGGTCAGAAATTTTAGGAGGAGATTCAGACTCTGTTCGTTGTTAGTTGGGTTCGATATACACTATTGCTGCTATGGAGATGGACATGATTGGTGGGTTGCTTCCAACTTGTTCTCCTATATCAGAGTCAATCTGTGAAAAGCTGTCAACTTAGTGATTACTGGTTATTGATCTATAATACATTTGAAGTTCTTTCGTGATATTCATGGTGTTTTATACATTTCAGAGATTTTTCTTCAAAGTTATTAGGTAGCTATGTTTTTTCAGCACATGTTGTACTCTTCTTACGTTGAAGGCTGTGGTTGTATGAATTTCGGGTTGTGTGGAGAATGGTAGTAGCCGAATACGATTTGAAGTGGCAGTCGTTCGTCCTGAAGGCTCAGTTATAATGATTAGGAATGGTATTTGCATGTATATTAGAGTTCAATTTTTTTGATGTCATTGGATTTCGCACAGTACATCTCCGTTTAAAATATTGCAACATATTGCAAAAGAAAAAAAGAATGCAATTGCCTTTACCGCCGAGAGGGCTTATCTTTTCAGAAAAGTTAAGATCCATTTCTGATGTAGAACGATAGTCAAATAGTACAGTTATATAGACCTTAACTTTTATTCTGTTAAACTACGTATAGACTCTACACTGTAGAGGAACCTAGTGAGCTGCTAAGCGAATAATCGCTTAAGTCCAAGAACGGAAACTTAAGAAGGGTTAATTACCCTTTATTCTTTCTAGTGGGAACTTCCCACTGGAAAGAACGTTTGTTAATTAATGCTTTTTCTGGCTTTTTATATCTTAATATACATTCCCTTTTCTTATTATATATATTTTAAATTAATTTTTTTTTGTTTGTTTTTGCAAAGATTGCATTATATTTCTTATCTTTCGTAATTTTCTAATATTTATTTCAATTATTTTGAGTTCTATTTCATAATGCCAATTTCCAATGTTTAATTTTTCACAAATAGTTTTGAATTAAGGTATCCGACTACGTTGAAATGACGAATTTTGGTGAAAATATAAAATTTTATTTTATTCTTTTATTAAAATATTTGAAATCTTGGCTTTCTAAAACCGTCTTCATTTTAATTCTACGATAAATAGAAATCGTACTATAGCCGTTTAAGTGCAAAACGGTAGCTGTCAAAACAACCGGAAGTTGTTGTCATTTGGATAATTTACGCGTGTTTTCTTTATATTTAAGCGAAATTAAGTAATATTTGCATAATGCTCGTATTTTTATGTTTGGCCTCACTTTAACCTTTTATAATTTCCGAAATACTGTTTGGCAACATCAAATGTTGTTTACTATTTCTAGCGTATGTATTCGATTTGCTTGCAGTTCGTTGATTCGTATTAGGTTCTATTTATGATTTTATCGTTTTGTATTTAAGTTCTATTTTTGATTCCATCGTTTTGTATTTATTAAAATTTGTGTAAGTTATTAATTTAATCTTTTATTTTATTTTCTGTATTTCTGTTTTAATTTTAACATGGGTAACGCCAAAAATAAACGTGTGACTCGGAAGCGAAAATTCCATGGACATCGTACTGCTGCATCAAATACTGTTAATGAAAATATAAATACAGCGAGTGAAATGAAAATTAAATCTATAGAGGAAATTAAAGATGAAAATATGATTAATAAATCGAATTTCTTTGGAAACCGTATAATTGACATCGAAATACTTACAGATGTATTTAAAACATTGTGTTGCCCATTATGCTTATCCACATGTTTAGAGCTAGTGAAAGATTCCACTTTCGGTTTGGCTTCAAATATCTCTATCAAATGTAAATACTGCAGTTTTTGTAATTCATTTGCAACAAGTAAAAAACAAAATAAAATGAATAACACAAATATTAAGTTTGTGTTTGCTATGAGGCTAATAGGAAAAGGATATTCAGCTAGCAAAAAACTATGTGCAACATTGAATATGCCCTGCTTGTCAAAGGCAGGTTATAGAAATTGTGAAAAAAACTTTTGCATATTGCCTCGGGTGTTGCTCAAGATTCGATGAATGAAGCTGCATCAGAAATCAAGAGATTGAAAGAAAATGATGATTCGGAAACAGTTTGTGGTATCTCTTGCGATGGCACTTGGCAACGTCGAGGACATTCTTCTTTGAATGGCTGTGTCGCTGCTTTATCAATTGATACAGGTAAAGTTTTAGATGTCGAAGTAATGTCTAAAAGCTGTAGGATTTGTAATCTATTACTTAAAATGCACAAAACTGAAGACCATATGTGTTCTTCAAACCACTCTGGTTCATCATCGAGTATGGAGGCAGTCGGTGCATATAGGATATTTGAACGCTCGAGCCAGTTGAGGCAGTTGAAGTATACAGAATTTTATGGTGATGGTGATTCTCAAGGATATTCGGCTGTCAAGGATGTATATGGGAAAGACAGTGTTACAAAATATGAATGTATCGGGCATATACAAAAAAGAGTTGGGACACGTCTGCGTAAATTCAAAGCTAATCATAAAGGGGTAGGGGGTAAAGGAAAACTGACCGACAAATTTATAAATAAATTGCAAAACTACTACGGAATTGCTATTCGTAGCAATTCAAATAGTTTGCTTGCAATGCAGACTGCGGTTGTAGCAGCCTTTTATCACAGTTGTTCGGGAGCAAATTAAACAATGCATGGACAGTGTCCGAAGGGCACCCGTAGCTGGTGCAAATATCAACGTTCTGTAGCTGAAGACAAAAAATATACTGAAAAGTCTAATGGCCTTCCACAAAATATTATTAACTCTATAAAGCCTTTGTATTTTGAACTTTGTGACCAAAAGCTTCTGAAAAAATGCCTTCATGGGAAAACTCAAAATGCAAATGAATGTTTCAATGGATGTCTATGGCAAATTGTGCCGAAAGATGTTTTCGTCGAGCTCCTGACATTTACTCTAGGTGCATATATTGCTGTTGTGCATTTTAATGAAGGATTTCAAGGAATCATGATTATGTTACGAGCATTAAATATTACTCCTGGCCCTTTTACTATTGAGGGATTCAAAACTCTTGATAATG